AATTATGGGAAATATCAGCTTTCATAGTTTTGCCTGTCTGAAGATTTGTTTCTCAAGTGTTGTTTTTACTCTTTTAGAGCAACAATTACATTCATATGGCATATCCCATTCAGAAAATACAATTACAATTTGTCAAGACTCCTCGTTCCCCAGTTTTTGTCAAGAATTTGCACCATACTTTACAAATTCCATTATCTTTAATGGAAAAGACAGTTCATAAGTGAATAAGATGCTTAAAAAAAAAAGGATTTTTCTTAGTTTGTTGTCCCCTTTTGCTAATTCTTTTTTCTTTTATTCAATTCACTCCTCTCTGTTTACAAACATTTCAATATCACATTTCAAATTTTTATAAATTGGTAAAAAAGTAGACAGAGTCTCACAGTGAAACAGAGCAAAGTGTAGCCATATGTAAATAAGTGCATTTTGCCAACCTTAAATATCAGCAGAATATACTGTACAGCTATAGAAATAGCTTAGATATAATAATCAATCTGCATGGACAATTATAACCGAAATCCTCTAGGCTTCACAATACTCAAACTATATGAAACACAAGTGTGACTTATTCAGCTAATATTAGTCAACTTCAGCCATTACAATAAGAAACAATGTAGCGCAGGCAAACTATATCACTCTTGTTTTGCACACCTTTGCATATAAAAGATATAAGGGGCATTTACAATGGATTGCAGAACAATAACCTTCAAAAACAATCACCAAACAGCCTGCCAATGTACCGAACATCTTTTGGCAAAGTATACACTACCTAGAAAGTAGGAGCAATTAGTAAAGGAGCTTATTTTTCTCTTAGCCAAGTAAGCCTGTGCCAAGTTATTTTAAACATTTAACTATGTAGTAGAATGTATTCACTGGAGTTTCTGATAGGATAACTGAGTGATTTTTCTAAGCTGAGAAAAAAAATACTAATTTAAAGTGTATTTTAGGTCAAAACTCCTTTTTTAAATTTTTCTATAAAGTGGTGAGTGATTAGATCCCCTGTCATGTTTTATTTGCAAATTAGTCCCCATTCGGGACATTCATTCTGTTTTGTTGTTCTGCTCACCACTGTTAACAAGACTGAAAATTACATTTCAAAATTTTGACTTGAATTTTGACTAGAAAAGGAATAAAGGTAAACTATACCAATGAGGACACCTGTTGGAGTGACAACTGGCTAAGTTTGTCCTTTCTTTGGAGAGGTCTCCTCTCACTTCCTGTTGTGTCTATAGGAAAGGGAAATCTCCCAAATGGGAGACAGATGGCATCAAAAAAACAGGGGTTTTAACCATTACCTACTCTATCCAAATTGGTTTTGGTTTTATATATACAATAAAAAATGAACCCTTGCTCCCTCCAAAATACAATAAAATAGTAAATGTGAAAAAGTGGGCATGCCATCATTATTACTACAGGTATTTATATAGCGATGGCAATTTACACAGCACTGTACACAGTTGCACATTCACATCAGTCCCTGCCCTCAAGGAGCTTACAATCTAAGGCCCCTATCACACACACATATATATATATACCTATCACACATATATATATACACACCTATCACAC